TTAAAAACAAGAATCACATTATCTTAATAGATACAGAAAAGCATTTGACAAAATATAGCATCCATCTGTATTCAAAACACTAGAAACACTAGGGATAGTAGAAACATACCTCAACATTGTAAAAGCCATATATATTAACTCCAAGGCCAACATCATTCTAAATGGAGAAAAACTAAAGCATTCCCTCTAAAAACTGGAACAACACAGGGATGCTCTTTCAGCTCATCTATTCAACATACCCTTGAAACTCTATCCAGAGCAATTAGGCAAAAGAAAATTGCAGGGATACGAATAGGAAAAGAGAAGCTTAAACTGTCCCTATATGCTAGTAACATGATCATATATTTAGAAGGCCAAAAAAACTCCACCAGCAGGATATAAAATTAACACCCATAAATCAATTACATTCTATATAACAGTGATAAGTCAGCTAAAAGAAATTAGGAAAACTATCCCATTCACAACAGCCTCAAAAAAATAAAATAAAATATTTGGGATTCAATCTAACAAAAGAGGTGAAAGACCTCTACAATGAAAACTACAGAACACTAAAGAGAGAAACTAAAAAAGACCTCAGAAGATGGAAAGATCTCCCATGTTCTTGGATAGGCAGAATTAATAGTCAAAATGGCCATACTACCAAAAGCACTATACAGACTTAATACAATTCTTATTAAAATTCCAATGATGTTCTTCACAGAAATAGAAAAAGCAGTCCATGAAATTCATTTTGAAAAACAGGAGGCCCAGAATAGCCAAAGCAATCTTTTTTTAAATAAACACACACACACACACACACACACACACACACACATATATTCAGTTGTCGACGGACCTTTATTTTATTCATTTATTCATATGTGGTGCTGAGAATCGAACCCAGTGCCTCACACATGCTAGGCAAGTGCTCTACCACTAAGCCACAACTCCAGCCCCCAAAGCAATCTTTAGCAAGAAAAGTGAAGCAGGAGGCATCACAACACCATACCTTACACCATACTATAGAGCTACGGTAACAAAAACAGCATGGTTTGGCACCAACACAGGCATAAAGACCAATGGAACAGAAGACACAGACAAACCCACATATCTAATACTGGACAAAGGCACCAAAAATATACACTGGAGAATAGATACCCTCTTCAACAAATGGTGCTGGGAAAACTGGAAATCCATATGTAGCAGAACGAAATTTAATCCCATCTCTCACCCTGTACAAAATTCAACTCAAAGTTGATTACAGACCTAGGCTTTCCCTTCAGTAGATAAATGGATAAAGAAAATGTGGTATATATACACAATGGAATACTATTCAACATTAAAAGAGAATAAAATCACGGCACTTGCAGGTAAATAAATGGAGCTGGAGAATATAATGCTAAGTGAAATTAGCCAATCCCAAAAAACCAAATGCCGAATGATTTCTTGAATTTAAGGATGCTGGGGGTGGGGAGGATGATGGGGAGGATCAAATGAAAAGGGGAAGGAGGGGAAGGGAGGGGCATAGGAGTAGGAAAGCCCGTAGAATGTGATGGTCATCATTACCCTAAGTACATGTATGAAGACACAAAGGATGTGACTCTACTTTGTGTATAACCAGAGATATGAAAAATTGTGCTCTATATGTGTAAAATGAATTGTAATACATTCTGTTATCATATATAACAAATTAAAATTAATTAAATAAATAAATTGTTTTTTGATAGACCCAACCTGATCTTTTATTAATAAAATTGGGAGCCATCTTGCCACAAAGCCATGAAAAGATAATTTTGGCTTTACTATAAATTACTGCAAATTCTGAACCTGCTTGGAATGCCTGCCCGTGCCTTGAACTCACCCATGCCTGGCTCTCTGACCAGATAGCAGCCCTCTCTGAAACTTTAGTGACACCTCATAAATATTGGCCTTCCCTGGCCATCCTCTCTGAGGCTCTAATGGTCCTCATAAATTCTGATGTTGGGGCCAGCAAAAAAAAAAATGTGTAAACTACCATTAGTGTGATGCTTGTCAGAGTTCTGTTATCTGTAACACCCCTTTTGTGTAACTTTCTGGGCTATAAAGCTGGGCTGTAGGAAAGGTGGGGGGCTGTCTTGTTCCCGCCGTTTTGGGAGGGAGAGGCAGCCAGTCGAAATAATAAGCTTGCTTTAATTTGATTTTAATTGGAGTCAGTGGTCTTTTCTTGCGTCCTGGTCTAACATTTTCCCCACCAAAAAAAAAAAAAAAAAAAGACCTAGACGTTGACCAGAAACCCTCTGCCTACTAAAAGAAAATATAGGCACAACACTCCAACCTGCCCCCTTAGGAACCAATTTCCTCAACAAGACTCCTAAAGTACAAGAAGTAAAATCAAAAATCAATAAATGGGATGGTATCAAACTAAAAGCTTGTTCACAGCAAAGGAAATAATAAAAGCATGAAGAGAGTGCCTACAGAATGGCAGAAAAATCTTTGTCACCCACACCCTCAGATAAGGCATTAATTTCCAGTATATACAAAGAACTCAAAAAGCTTAACACCAAAAAAAAAAAAAAAAAAAAAAAACACAAAAACAGATGACCCAATCAATAAATGAATGGGCAAAGGAACTAAACAGACACTTCTCAAAAGAAGATACACAAATGGGCAACAGATACATGAAAAAATGTTCCAACATCTCTAGCAATTAAAGAAATGCAAATTAAAACTACACTGAGATTTTACCTCACTCCAGCCAGAACAGTAATTATCAAGAATACAAGAGGGCTGGGGTTGTGGCTCAGCGGTAGAGCACTCGCCTAGCATGCATGAGGCACTGGCTCAGCACCACATAAAGTAAAATAAAGACATTGTGTCCACCTGTAACTAAAAAATAAATAAATATTAAAAAAAAAAAGAATACAAGAAACAGGGGTCTGGGGCTGCATCTCAGTGGTAGAGTGCTTGCCTACCATGTGTGAGGCACTGGGTTCGATCCTCAGCACCACATAAAAATAAACAAATAAAATAAAGGCATTCTGTCCATCTACAACTACAAAAAAAGAAAAAAAAGAAGAAAAAGAATACAAGAAACTATAAATGTTGGCAAGGAAGTGGGGAAAAGGATACACTCATACATTGCTGGTGGGACTGCAAATTGGTACAACCATCCTGGAAAGCACTATGGAGATTCCTCAGAAAATTAGGAATGGATCCACCATCTGACCCAGTTATACTATTTCTTGGTGTATATTCAAAGGAGTTAAGGAGTCAAAATCAGTACACCATAGTGACACAGTCACATCAATGTTTACTGCAGCTTAATTCACAAAAACTAAACTATGAAACCAACTGAGGTGCCCTTCAACAGCTGAATGGATAAGGAAAATGTGGCATATATATACAATGGAATATTACTCAGCCATAAAGAAGAATGAGTGTGACATTTGCCAGTGAATGGATGGATCTGAAGATTATTATGCTAAGTGAAATAGGCCAATTTCAAAAAAAAAAAAAAAAAAAAAAGGTGGAATGTTCTCTCTGATATGTGGATGCTAATACACAAGAAGAGAGGTGGGGAATAATAGAAGTTCAGTGGATTAGACAAAGGGGAAGAAAAGGGAGGGGGATAAGATTAGCAAAGACAGTGGAATGAATCTGACATAATTTTCCTATGTACACATACAAATATATCACAGTGAAACTCCACATCATGTACAACCACAAGATTGGGATCCTGATTAGAATAAGCTATATTCCATGTTTGTAAAATATGTCAAAACTGGGGCTGGGGATGTGGCTCAAGTGGTAGCACGCTCGCCTGGCATGCATGCGGCCCGGGTTCGATCCTCAGCGCCACATACAAAGATGTTGTGTCCACCGAGAACTAAAAAATAAATATTAAAAAAAAATATGTCAAAACTGACTCTACTGTCATGTATAACTAAAAAGAACAAATTAAAAAAAAAAAAAAAACTCCAGAACCTAAATCTCCAACCCTAATTTAGCAACATTAGTCATAAGTTAAAATTTTAACTTACATGTAAGTTTAATATGGTCTCTCTTTTGAAAACCAGGGATGATTTATTCATTCTCATTTTCTTGTAAATACTACCCTTTATTTCCATTTAAAGTTTTTAACTTTACTGTTCCAGCCTGAAAAGAAGAAAATACAGAAGTAGGCAAAAGGACTGTTACCACTTTTCAAATTTTAATACTAGCCACTATACTCATTTTACTCAGCAACTAACATCAAACCTATTCAAACAAACATAAGAGAGTGCTTTGACAGTTTACTGAAACAAAAGATCGCTACTTTAACATTTCCTCTTACTAAAAAGTCCTAAATGAGCACATAATGTGTAACACTTTCTAGAACCCGGAAATCAAGCTGTAACACTATATTTAATGACTTGATATTCTATTCTAGCAAAGAAATTAAAGAAGCACACTCGCAATACCAAAATATACTGAGTTCTGCACAACTGTATAAAGTGAAACACTAGATTCAGGGATCTTGTCAAAGTTAGGAAATTAAAGGACACGTTCAATGCGTTACAGAAAACGGAAACCACTTTCTAAAACTCACCAAGACAAAACTAATCGAAAGAACTTATTGCACACGCGCCACCGACAAGGCCAACGAGCCGGATTTCCGTGGGATTGAATGGCAATCCGATGCGCGGCGGATTTCCTCACTGCGGATTACTAGGAGAGCCGCGTCCATCTCAGAACACGAGTAAAAGAAAGCCGCCCCGGAGGGGCTGTCCCCCGACCCGAGATCGGCAGGCTGTCCCGCAAGTCAGCCTCTTCGCGCGTGCCTCAAAAGAAGGAGCAGCGACCTCACCCCAGGCGGCACGCGGGCCGCGCGACTTCCCCTCGGCAATCCGACCCTCGGCACCTTGGCTCACACCCCCACACAGGCCGCTCCCTCCAGCGCTCGCTCGGCCACCGCCTCCGTCGCCGTCCAGGGGTAAGTGCGAGCATCCGGGGCTGCTGCCGTGCAAGCCGCCTTCTCCATGGAAGCGTTGAGATAAACCTACCCAGGACGACCTCCAGCCCCACCGCGGCCGGGACCGAGGGCCACCGCCGAGGAGAACCTGGGCGCGACCGAGTGACGCCAGACTCCACGCGCGCACACGCGCAGTGCCGAGCCCCGCAGGCCCCGCCCCGCGGTGCCTGGACCAGCCGGTTCCGGCTTCTTCACCCGGCCGGGGTCAGCCAGGCGCGGGGGCTGGGAACCGGAAGGGAGAAAGGTGGTAGGGAGTATTTTATGAAGTGACATTACCCCCCCCCCCGCCAAGATGATGAAAATATGAATTCTGTGCGGCGCTTATTTAAAATGCAAATTTGTAGGATTCAGCGTGCGCAGCTAAATTTGAAGCAGCGTCTCGAAGATGCAACTGGTACTCGGAAGCTGGCGAAGGGCAGGGCCGGGCAAGCTTGCAGGGGAGTGGGAGGGGCGTGGTCAAGGAAGCCAGGGCTGCCTCTCAGGCGCCAGACACTTCCATTCCCAAAAGCTTACCGTCCGGGTCCCCAAATAGATGCAAGTTTGTGGTTTGGTAAAGTTGATGGGTGAATTTGTGACATTTGTCTTGCGACATTTGTAATAGAGATACATTTTTCACAAAATGCATAGGAAATTGTTAGGCAATCCCGCCTTAGCTTCTGCAATGGAGACATTCCCTGGGACCTACCATCAAGGTTTCTTCCAAGAAATGCAAAGAACCTCATTCAAAAGAAGTTGGGAGGAGGACCAGCTCCAACTAGCTAAAAGGTGGAGGGTGAGATCTGCCAAAAGTCAATGATTCCTTGGTTACAGGTGTAAAGATCTCTTGCACTTTGTGACTAGACGAAAAAACGCTATTGTGCAATTTCAGTCATCTGGGTTGAGAATCTGAGTATAATGAATTATATTTTTATTGAGACAGGAAACAGCAAATGTAGTTTCTCCATTTCAGACAATGTATTGGGCTGTGTTCTAGACTATATGCAGAGCCCCTGTGGTTTTGGTATAGGTCACTATGCAGTTTCTAGTTTAAAAACTTTTAATCTGCTGTGATCTTGGCAACCACACAATTGTGCATCTTAGAACTGATTTTTTTTTTTTTTTTTTTTTTTAAGCCCGGGGCCATTAGTGTCAGCTCTAGGTCATGACTTCTGGACCTCCTTTTGGCTGGGTAAGGAACAGCATTCCTTACATTCCAAGTAGGATGAAAAGGGACCTTGGGTCCAGCTACCACTCCTAACATAAATCTAAATCTCTGTTCTCAATATTGAACTCAGGCTTTTTATGGGACCAAACCTTTTTTTTTTTTTTTAACTTTGTTTTTTTAAGACAGGTTTTTTGAGACAGGCTGGCCACAAACTTTGGATCCACTTGCCTCACTTCCCAAGTTTCTGGGATTACAGGCCAGTCATGCACACCCAGCTCAAAGGACCTGTTTTGCTTATTTCTTTGGTCTCAGCCAGATTGACTTGATAACATTGTCAGATAAAGAATTACATTTAATATTAAAATATAACTGGAAGGTTGGTCTTTAATGATGTGGGTAGATTTACAGTGTGGCTGACCTATCCCTTGAATCTGCATTGGCCTTGGGACTAGCTTTGAGCAGGAAAATGTGGTAGTTCTTAGCTTAAACAAAGATGAGATGAAGCCTGGACTGACCTACTAGCTGACCCATAATTGAGACCCTGCAGGGATTGGGCCAAATTGCTCCAAATTAGCAAAACTGCCCTAGTGATACATGGGCATATGAGAAAGAATGATTATCTTAAGCCACTCATTTTGAGATGGACTGGTAGGCAGCAATAACTAATAAAGATGGCAACAAGACACCTCTAGAAGGTAGATGATTGTAATGAAAATAGTTGTTGGCTCATTTGAACAGGAATGCTTAGTTCTAACATGTTAATTTAACCTAAGGAGACCAATATGATGCATGTTGTTTAAATGCCCACATCACTTCTCCAATACATAGTATTCTGTGAGTGTATCTCATGATCAAGCAGTGATCATGAGATACTTTTAAGGTTTTTAAAACTAATTTTTCCTCAAATATTTCTGATGGAATTCTGAAATGGCACAACTTCCTTGGAAAACAGGCTGATAGTTTCTTAAAAAGTTAAAACACATTCCCACCATAGGACCCAGAGGTTCTATTCCCAGGTATTTACCCAAGAGAATGAAAATATGTATCTATGAAAAGACTTATGAATGAACATTCCATAGCAACTTCATTTGTAATAGTGAAAAAACTAGAAACAACCCAAATATTCAAATATGAATGAATAAACAGATTGTTGGCATATCCATATAATAGAACAATACTCAGAAATATAATGGAATGAACTATTGATACATGCTATAACATAGCTGAGTCTCAAAATAATTTTGCTAAGTGAAAAGCACCAGACCCAAAAAAGCAAAAAAAAGTAGTATATGCTAATTAATTACAGTTATATAAAAGTCTAGGAAATGGGAGCTAATATATAGTGATAGTAAACAGATTAAAGGTTGCATGGGAGTGGAAGGGAAAAAGAAGGCAGGATTACAGTGGGTCAAAAAGGGTGATGGATATGTTCAGTTCCACTGATATTTTCATTATACTTAATGATATAATGCTTTCATTATAGGACATATGACAAACCAAATTGTACACTTTATAAGTGTGTAGTTTATTATATGTGAATTAAATCTCCATAAAATTATTAAAATCTTGTCTTTGTTATAGAAACATTGGCAAAGACTCCTTATTAAAATAGTATTTTTTAAAATCATGCATTAGGAAATCAAATAGTTTTATGTTTCTTAAATTGTTCCCCAATTACTCTCATGTTTTGGTTTTGATACCACAGAAACAAAATAGCAGAGCAGATGATTATTTTTTAACTCAACCCCCATCACTAAAGTTGCCCTTTGTCCTTTCAAAGTAAATTGTGGCATTCTCTATCATTTAACTTATTTTTTGGTGGTGTTGGGGATTGAACAGGGCCTTGTGCATGCTAGGCAAGTGTTCTAACACTGAGCTACAGCCCCAGGCCCCTCCGGGATTTAAAAACATTACTGTTATATAATATTTTTCAGTTAGCATTTGTTCATTCAAGGCTATACATGACCTCTAAATGTAGTGGGGCATTTTCCAGAATATTTAGTTGGAGGAATGGCAGGGAGAAAATGAAAAAGATAGGAATAACTCAAAGTGAATTTAGGTAGAACACTAGGATATTCATTAAAGGGCGGGAGTTGTTTTTTAATAATTGCCTCACCTGGTGAAATGGAAAATGTATGTGCTGAGCAGAATAATGCCCACTAATAGTGTCCACATCCTAATCCTTGGAACCTGTGATCATATTACATTACATAGCAAAAGGTGCTATGCAGATGTAATTAAGAATCTTGAAATGGGGAGATGATTCTGGATTGTCCGGGTAGGTCCAAAATAATCAGAGTTCCTTCTAAGGGGAGTACAGGAGGGACAAAGTTTAAAAAAAGAACCAACAATGGAAGAATAGTCAGAGAGATATGATGTTGCTGGTTTTGAAGGAGGAGGAGGGAGCCATAAGTCAAAGAATACAGGCAGTCTCTAGAAACTGAAAAGGACAGGGAATGGATTCTTCCTCTGAGTCTCTGGAGGAATTAATCCTACCAACACCCTGTAAAACCTGTGTTGGACTTCTGACCTCCTGACTATAATATAATAACCCACAAAGCTTGTGGTAACTTGTTAGTCACACAAAACTAGAGTGATTATTCTAAATTCAGTAGGAGGAGAACATACCAAGTCCCCCAGGCATCTTCACCAAATATAAAAAGATGCAATTTCATAGGCAACCTAGTTTAATGTTTCTTCCATCATATCAGTTATTTTATTCAGATTGATTGTGTTTCTTGCCTTGTACCTCCCCCATCCTGCTCACCCCAGTCCAGTTTTACTCCCAATGCTAACATCCTCAGCTGAAATTAATCTCTCTCTCCTCTGAAATGCTAAGAGATATAGAAGTACTTAGATATTATACAACTGTTTCTTGACTATACCACCACCACCTCTCCAACTTAAAACCTTTTAGAAACTACATATCATGTGAAGTTCAAAATAATAGGTCTGTGAGTGTAACTCAGTAGTAGAGTGCTTGCCTAATGTGCAAGGCCCTGGGTTTCCTCCTCAGTACACCCCCAAAATTAATTATTATAATGGTATATAAATAAGTGTGTGATTAATACTACAACAAATATGCCAACAGCATCACACTTAAGGGTTATCAGACAGGGACATGACAGCAATAGAGGAACCCTAACAAGGTGCCAGGAAGGTAAGAATAGCTTGGTTTTCTGTGCTCCTCAGAACTAGATATCCAGCTCACACTTAACTATTGTGCCTAGCTGGCAGCTAGAACTAAAAGTTCCTTAGTAGTAATCAAATAGGGCTGCAGAATTTGCCATCCACACATTTCACAGCTGCCAAAAGCAGTCTGGAAATAATTAGACATACAAACATTCCTGATTTCAGTAGAAGTATACTTTGATCAAAATGTGTGTAATTAAAGTAAATCTTTGCCAGGCACAGTGGTGCATGCCTGTAATCCCAGTAGCTTGGCAGGCTGAGGCTGAAGGATGGCAAGTTCAAATTCAGCCTCAGCAATTTAGCCAGGCTCTAAGCAACTCAGAAAGACACTGTTTCTAAATAAAATATAGAAAAGGCCTGGGAATATGGCTTAGCCAGTGGTTAAACGCCCCTGTGTTCAATCCCTGGTATGTATGTATGTATGTATGTATGTATAAATAAATAAATAAAAATAAATAAATATCTTTTTGGATAGAGCCTAAGGAAAAAAATCTTTACTCAAATTATTTTTTCTCATTTAATAAAATAACTGAGGTTGGGGTTATAACTCACTGGAAAAGTGTGTGTTTAGCATGTGTAAGGATCTGGGTTTGATTCTGGTACCAAAAACAAAATTATTGGACACTAGAAAAGGTTAATGACAAGATTTCTGATGATGTTCAGAGTACTAAAATATGTTATGACTCTTTAATTTTTTATGGACTTAAAATATAAAATGACGTGTTACGCAACTCAAAAATGTGTAAAAGATTTGAATGTGGTAGCACATACCTGTAATCCCAGCTACTTGGGGGGCTAAGGCAGGAAGATCACAAGTTCAAGGACAGCTTGGGCAACTTACTGAGACCCTGTCTCAAAATAAAAAATAAAAAAGGCTAGAGGTATAGCTCAGTAGGAGATTGTCCCTGAGTTCAACCCCTACTACCAAAAAAAAAAAAAAAAAAAAGCCATATTAAAATAGAGCTGATGGGGATGGGGCTGTGGCTCAGCAGTAGAGTGCTCACCTAGCATGAGCGAGGCGCATAAAAATAAATAAATAAAAGCACCACATAAAAATAAATAAATAAAATAAAGGCACTGTGTCCCACTACAACTAAAAAAAATTTTTTTAAATAGAGCTGGTTTTCTATAGTACTATCATTTAATTCAATCAGAAGATACGTCCTTCATATATGGATCTGCACCAAGACAGATGCACAAGCAGACATAATAGGAAAAATGTGAGGATCTGAGATGATTTGGAACCTGAGACTACAAAGAATTCCAAGCAAAGGGAAAAATCAACAAGTATTCCACTAGAAAGAAGTTATTTTATTTTAAAACACATACAGATTAATAAATATTATTGGAAAACTTAATAAATAGCCTTTTTATTTACATAAGGCAATAACACATGCTATGACTATTTCTATAAAGCAAAACATAAGCAAATCTTAGTCATTGATAAATGTGTGTATGTATGTATGCTAATTGGAAGCTCCCCTGATACATTTACATGGAAAAACTTGAATGCAACCAATCAACATTTGACATTTTTTAAAATCTAGACTTCTTCCTCCTTTCATGATTATATTATATTTTATAAGGAAATAATAGTTGTACTTCAAAAAGCCAAGAACACTCAGGAATGCTATGAAAATCAACACTCTTAAACCTTGTAAAGTGCAAAAATACCGACGAGGTGGAGGGGTAAATTAATATTTCTGACAAATAAAAGAAACACTCTGAGTTTTCAATGTGACCTTTTGGCACTAGTGGTTGGGGAGCTCCTGACATTCACCTGGTATCAGATAGTTGATCATCAGGGTTGAGCTGCTTGAAAGCAGAAAGTTTAGCATTATTCCTTACAAATTCAATGCAAAAGAATCGATTGGTCACATAGATCATTAAACCTTCTGTAGAACACAGCCTAAGCCAAACATCAGAGGAGCTCATTACCCCATCAGAATGTGAGCTTTCAGTGCAGTTTTAAAAGTCCTTGTTTAATTTCCATATTTTACAATAGAATATATAAAATCCTTCCTTAAAAAAAAGGAAAATTAAAGCTTTACAGAATCATGCAAACTTTACACCCAGTGTTTCCTTTACTTGCTTGGTGCTTGGAGCTACATGCTCTACAGCACCATCCTGAGCAGACTCCATGGTCAATGCAAACTGAGTTCTATCTACCATGTCATTTCCAGAGCAGTTCTGAGAATGGTGCTCTCAGATCTGAGACCATCAGAACACTACTAAAAGTGCTAGCATTTTAGGTACAATCAATTTGGAGAACCATCCCACCCCTTTGGAGGTAGAAAAACTGAGGCACAGAAAGGTTAAGCAACTCACCTATATTTGCACAATTCAGGGAAAATTAGAGAAAAGAAGAAATAAATCCTTCTCCCTGGCTCTCTGGGCCTTAGACTCTGCTTTTTAATTGCTTTGGGTACATTTGAAATAGATGTTTATTTACATGATCATTGTTCTACTGAATATCAACTTTTTAAACTAGACAGTGTATTTTGATGTAACAGAAGTTACATTCTCTTAAAATAGAATTGTTTTGTTGCATTTGATAGCATATGAGAAATGTGTATAAAAAAAAAAAACGAGCAGTGGTATTAGGCCAAATTCTCATGCCTGTTCCTATAATTCTTAATCTTTTCAAGTATACATGGAGGTATAAGAATCTGGCCAGATGTGAAAAATCACCTATGAGCTAAAGGACAGACCCTTAAAATTCATCACCAGTAACAATTGTGGAGTGGAAATGAGGAATACAACAAATTGAGGTATTTTATATGATAAATTGGCTTGTGGAATGACTGATATGCAAATTGGTCTTTTGCTAACTGAAGTTAACAGAATCTAGCTATGAATATGAGTAAGACATACAGAAAATGAACAGAGGTGTCATTGGTAGGAAGGTCAACACTAAAAAGATGATGATACATTTTTGGTCCCTGAGAAGACGGAACACCAACATTCCATCCAATCCTGCTTGATGAGTGAACAATGTCCTTGGTGTCAAACACTCTGAGAAAGATAACTCCTTCAGACCACAGAAGCTAATCCACAGTCATGAAGCATTCTCTTTCTAGTGTCTTACTGGGAACCCTAACCTGGACTTAGTAGGCATCAGAAAAGAGCTACGGACATGGTTCTGTGAGCCATTGGAGCATCCTCTCTGCTCTTATGGATTACTGGAGCAGCTTGGGAAAGAGACAAAGGTATTATCTCCTCCAAGAATTATATAGCAGGGGCTGGGGATGTAGCCAGAGGTAGAGCACTTGTCTGCTATGTGCCAGACCCTGGGTTCATTCCCCAGCACTGTGAAAAAAAAATATGCAGCAGGGCAGTGGTCTGTACTCATCAATACCTATTTCTGTTGACTGAGTGTTCGTCCACACCTGGGAGACACTGCATCTGAGTGCTTTACAGAAGTCTAGAAACTGGCCTCTAAAAGTTGAGCATAGCATTTACCAGGAGCTAAGCTGTCTAGGAAGAAGGAAGAGGAGCAGTAACTACCCATTTGAATAGTGTTTTCTTCTATCAGAAAAGAAATGTAAAACCCAAAGAAAACAACAAAGGCCAGCATATTACTGCTGGAATTAACTTCTGGAAATAAACTGAGTATAACAAATTGGCTTAAGAAGTAGGAATTAAAAGAATATTTCTTATTGCTCAACAAAGAGCAGCAAAGTGTATTATATTAGCATTCTAATATGAAATGACAGTCTGAGTGATAAGCAAAGCCACCAGAAAACCAGATTCCTCCCCAAAGGTCCTAGCATGGGCCTCACAGAAATGCAGTGGTTATGCAGATTGCAAAATGCTAGGATGGTATCCTTGGGCTAGGTTTATGTTAAGAATCCTAAATTGGTTCTATACTTGGTCAATAAGCAGAATAGAATTCACGTGAGAAAACAAGGCATTGTCCAAGTAGGAGAGAATAGCCTATTTAAGTATCTATCAAGAATAATTCTGAAAATTGTAATCAAAAACCTTTGATTTTAGAAAAAACTTGAAAATAAATATACAGTAGATATTTTTCTTGGTTTTATCAGAGATAAATCAAAGAATAACATTATAATGAAAATGTTTCACAGGCTTTACTTTTGGAAAGACCTATAAGAGATCCATTTCCATATTAGGATCTCCCCTGAAACTCTCAATTTGGGGTCCTTTTTTTTTGTATTTCCAAGTTAATTATGAAAAAAGCAAATTTGTGAAATGATAGTAGAAATTTGAATTTATGTGCTTCATGTTAAATTTAGAACATCAGACCCTGGTCATGTCAATTACTCAGAGGCTACTGTCACACATATGAAAAACAATGAATGACATGAACTTTGTTTCACTGGAACAAAAGCTATGTATCCTGCTAAAGCAATCTACCAAATATATATAAACCTGGGAGATTCTGTTCCAGGATCAGTCACCTTCAGAAGAGCTATTAATACTGTGAGATTTTGTTTTAGTCTAAAAACAAATTATAGGGAATATCATCCAGAAATTCACAACTCTGAATATCCATGGGATAATTGTGGATTAAAATATAGAAAGGTACACCAATAGAGGCATTTAAATAAGCTTCACATGTAAGTTGTAGCAAAACATAATTTTTAAATTATGAACTTTCTTATATTCTTGAATAATTATGTGTTAATTCTTTCCCAAACATCTCCTTAACTAGAAAATTACTTTTGTGCCAAAATTACTGCAACTTTTAGTTCAATAAATGAAGGGTAATATTTCTAAAAATGCCAGTGTTAAAAAAATAACCTTAAAGAGCTGATGAAAGAGGAATGGACATTTGGAATATTTATTAACTACCAGTTAATATAAGATTTTTAAATTTTTTGAAATTATTTTGTGGCTGCTCTTCACAAATCACTGACAAACCAGGATGATCACATGTACTTTTAATTCATAAAGGTATATTTTTGCTTCATGTTAAACTAGTCTCATTTTATTTGGTCTCTTTGTTCAAAACTTTAGGGAGGTATTCCTTGGATTTTTACTTCAGAAATGTTCTTTCTGCCTGGAGAAAAACACCTTTTTAAAGTAACTATAGTTGGATATTATTAAATTTCAAGTTCTATTTCACCTAATCTACTTTACCCAAGCCCACCTTTCAATTTAGCATAGTTCCCTATTCAGATAAAACACTGCATGTGAATCAGACAATATAGTGATGAAATTTTTGCATCACTTCGTGTTCTGCTCCAGTTTAATACACATGGGAGGTTGTTATGGACAGAAGAAAGATCTCTTTTATCCAAATGTTGGCATAATTAATTGCCATTTTACATTTAAGAATTGTTTTGTTTTGTTTCTGGCACGGGGAATCAAATCCAGAGCCTCATGCTCACTCAGGAAATTTAGTGAGATGCTGGGTGAGGAACTCAAGAATGTTCTACTCTGAAACAAGAAAATCAAACTGTTTCCATCTTTGTTAGAAACTCCTTTGAAACTATGTGTGTTCCAACTTGGTTCTGTATTAAAAAGGGTTCTCAACATATGTGCTATTAAACACTTTTTTTCTCCTTTAATAGCCTTATTATCAAGTTAAATAGTTTATTTCTTCTGGATGGCCACAAATGCTTGCTGTGTATATATTTGATACTGGATCCCAATTACATAGGTTGAATGCAAATAAAATACCTCATGCTACTTAATCAATTGTCTTTACTTGGACAATAACTACATGCTAAATGGGTCAATCTGCTCATGTGCCTTTAGTTTTGACACTCCTCCAATACACAATTATTTCTAATTGCTTTACAATTATTTATAATTTGAACATTGAAATGTTAAGGTATAACCAAGGAAGTGGCATTATTCTAATTTAAGAGAACATACAGTAATAGTCAAATTAAGTGAATAATTCAAGTGATAAAGGCACTGAAATTGATTTGAGCTATTGAAAGGTCATCCTGCCAATGGAACACTGCATCACATTCATTAACTGTTCTCTCTCTATTTGCTATTAAAATGTCTTGGGTGGGTGCAGGAGAGAGCCTATTTGTTAGAGAATTAAAAACAATTCAATGTATATACCTCTTATGTGAATGAGGTACCTGAATGTTATACATGCTCAATGCAAACTAACACAACAACAGTCACATTTACTGTACAGAGCCAGATTTCAAGACAAGAATTTTTCTCATTTCCAGAGTAATCTTCTAATTAAGAACATTTGCTCTCCTGCAAAGACTAACCAGGAAGAGCCCATCTTTATTTACTCATTAAATCATGTTAAAATGTTTTAAAAGGAAAAAGTAGTCATGAAAGCTTCCAGGTTAATGGAAATGAAAATGAGATTCGTCTCATCAGAGAGAGATGATGCCCAGGCAACGACTGGGAGCATCAGGCTACAGAGGGCTGGGCCCCTGCTCTGCTGCTGAACCAGGCTCCCCACTGTCCACTCGACCACCCATTAGTACACAGGCAATTCTCACATCAGGGATTGAGGGTCTCTTCTACTTCACATCCAATCAGGACCAGAGACCACCTCTGAGGCCTGTTCCTCAAGCCCCCAACCCCTGGTTGCATTCTAGTCTGTTTTCATATTGGATTTGTTCATTTCCCCAAGATTGAAATTGAACTCTTTGAACACCTGTATAAGGACAATCCCCACGGAGACCGTCGTGAATCCACAGGCCATGCCCAAGAAGTCCACCAGACCCACGTTGCTCCACTCCCGGAAGAGGATGGCTGAAGCCAGCAGGACAAGTGTGGTGAACACCACATAGTAGATGGCCCCAAACACGGAGGAGTCGAAGCACTCCAGAGCCTTGTTGATGTACCTGAATTGGACGATGATGCTGCAGCCCAGCACAGCCAGGAGCACCAGGCACAAGCACAGGGCTCTCTGACTAGATGGGTTGTTGTGCAAGATGTCTTGGGCTGCCAGCCCAATGCCCTTGGTGGAAGGCACGGTGAAACTCCCCAGCAAGGAGCAGATGCTGATGTAGACCATGATGTTGGTGGGCCCATGGGCTGGGGCAATCCAAAAGATGAGCAGCAGCAACATGAGCAGCACGATGCACAGGTAGCCCACAAAGACTGCAAGACAGATGGCACACATTGACCTGGGCAGTTCCCCACTCAGTGACTACCCAAGGAGACAAAGCTGAGGCACTGCCTGTGCTCCCACTAGCCACCCCTCTACTGTGGCAAGTGCACTTTCCTCATCATTATTTTTACCATTAAAACATTCATAGGGGCTGGGGATGTAGCTCAGCACTTGAGTGGCATGTAAAAGGCCCTAGGTTTGATGCCTGGCATGGTACAGGGTTGGCTGGGTTCAGTATGCCTTGTACAGGTGTACCTGAGCATTTGCATATTGCAAAGTAGCATCCTGCTACTTCTCCTTTATATTCAGTTAAGGCATTATACTGATTGCTTTAAAATTATGTGTATAGGAGGTTGTATTTTGCATGAATTTAATTCCCAAATTGTGAAGTTGTCCCTCACAGGGCTGGAAACTGCCTGGACATGCAAACTAGACCAGATAGGCAAACAAATCAACAAGTGTGAACATGCAACCCAAAAGACAGGCATTGGGAGCTTTGCCCCTCATGGGTGAACTATGAAGACCTGCTCTTGGGGGGCCAACAGAGGGAGACTCTCCAGAGAAGGGACACTGGAAGGTCAGATGAAAGCTGCCTAGAAGTCTCATCTACAAATTAGGAAAGGCACAGTTAGGCTCATGCAAAAAGAAAATACTGCCCAACTTTGGGCAGGTCTAGGGGATGGAACCCCAACTTATTCACATGTTTGGAAGCAACTTAAATGTATGCAAGTGAGCAGGCACAGTGTCAGGAAAGCAGCAGGGCATAAACATGGAGAAGTCTGGGCAAGAGGGAATGCAAAGGGCTTTGATGCTGGGAAGGGCAAGTTCAGACAACATTTCAGATAGGTCCCAGGTATCAAGACAGCTGAGATGGCAGGGGTGGTGGCCAAGGAGGAAGTGGTGCAGAGGGGCAGGAAGAAAAAGGGAACAGGACAGGACTGAGCACACAAGCAGCCAGAGGGGATGCTGAACGACAAGCCTCAGCAGCTATGTGTGAGAACTGGGCTATGCAGAAATAAAAATGCATGGCCAGGAAAACCTATTTTCGTGTGATCTTATTTTTTTAAGGTTAGAGCAGGCACCAGATGCCCTTCAGCCTTGTGACACTTTCTTCACATCTGTGTTTCTCAAGCATTTATTTCATTATCACCCATATTAGGAACCACTTTCCACCTTTCTCCCACTTGTTCACCACTGTGAAATATCTGTATCATTGATTTATTATATAGCTGTTTATGATTGCATCTAAATCTGTACTTTATAAATTGAAAGAGTGGTTTTTTTCACCTCCAAACATCAGTATTTGCTCTCTGAGGGTGATAGTACCATCATTGAGAATGCATGCCTCACAATATTCACTCTTTATATTTATCTGTTTGTTTTTTTAGTGGTGCTGTGAATTAAACCCAGGGTCTCACATTTACTAAGTACATGCTCTAACACTGAGCTACACCCCAGTCCTGATATTTTCTCTTTGGAAAACATTCCACTACATTTCCCTCACTTCTACCCTCTTTGAATATGACAGAGCACATATCACTTATATAAAATATAAGTAAGTGATAATTTAAATTTCTTCTGAGGCAAAAATTCATCCTGTATTTTTACTTTTAGAAAAAAATATTAGAAAATCTATAAGGTAATAAGTGCCCAGAATAATACCATTTTATATTTTAGATTCTTTGACATTAAAAAGAAAAATTTTTTGCTATCATTCTATCTTCATACCTAATTTTTATTGTGACATATTGTATATAATTTACAACTGTACATATAAACTCCAAACATGTAAATAAGTTAGGATCTGATATGTATTAGCATTATTCACATTTATCAAAAAGTCAGTAGCCATTGGGTATGTTCCTAAAATAAGTCCTTGAGAGCCCAGTGCTGTGGCAAAGCCTAAACTCACAGCTACAAAGGAGGCTCAGGCAAGAGAATTCCAGGTTCAAATATAGTCTCAGCAACTGACCAATACCCTATCTCAAAATAAAAAAGGGCTGGGGATATAGCTCAGTGGTAAAGCATCCTTTTACCACTGAGTCCAATCCCTAGTACCGCCACCACCACCAATAACAAAAGCCTTCAGGACACTCACATTTACTTCTGTAATCTTTCTCTGGTCTTTTCCTCCCTTCATCTTTGTACTTTTATATCTTACAGTACCAAATATCATGGCTTTTATGGAAATAAATGAATATCACAATGGTAAGAGTCTCCACACTCCATAAGGAGACACAGACTTGGTTAATTTCACTATGATCCCTTTTTCAATTTTTTTTTAATGTTTATTTTTTAGTTGTAGTTGGACACATTTATCAAAAAGTAAGTAGCCATTGGGTATGTTCTACAAATTAATAAAAAATAAATAAATAAAACAATATCTTTGTTTTATTTATTTATTTTTATGTGGTGCTGAGGATTGAACCCAGGGCCTCACATGTGCTAGGTCTAAGTGCTTTACCGCTGAGCCACATCCCTAGCCCCCTTTTTCAATTTTCACAAATGTTTTTGTTGCTACTTTCATCACTTCTAATTGAAAGCTACAAAAGAGGCGTTCCCACATTTTGTGGCCTGGAGGCATCTGTGTGAAGGCAATTTTGTGCTACCACCTGTCTAAAATTGTTGGTAAGCAGCACAAGACAGTCTACTGGAAGAAATTTAGAAGTAATCTGTACTTAAGGCAGGTGTGTTTATGTAATGTTTTTTATTTGACAAAAAAATTAGAAATTATTATATGTCAAACACAAATATATGCACACACAACTGGAGTCTCTGCTCTCAGTGCTGCACATCAGAGAGAAGCACTGAATGGGGACAGAACAGAGTTGGCAGATGCTGGCTGCTGCCATTGGGACAACAGTTCAAGGAGGGGGCAAGACTAGCTGGCCCACAGAAGGAACAATGCATAAAAAGAACCAGAAGAAACTGGATGGTACAGCTCCTAGCCCAGTCAGGGATCTGAGGGCAGGGGTGTGGAGGAGGGACAGTGGAGGAAGAGAGAGATACCCAGAGGTCAGGAGAAGCCACTCATGGCTCTGGAATGAGCCAAGCACCCAGGTTGCAGAGGAAGCCCCTACAGGGATGAGGGCTGAGATAAGGCACTGGCTTATCATTATGCTGAATGGGTCTACCAGGTGGTCTGGGAGTGACCTTTGCACACAAACCATGGCCAGCTAGGCTCAGGGAGGCTGCACAGCTGTGACTGGCTTGTACACACAGCCAAGTGATACACATGTATGTGAAGCACAAAGAATGCAAATCTGTGGACTAATTAGGGTGGATACAGGTTTGGCCTACACCACTGAAGTTGCCAGACTGGAGCCATGGCTTAGGAAGTGTGAACTTCTTGGGCAAAGGCTCTTGCTCTTGGCTGCAAGGAAGGAGTTACCTGGATTAGTCAGCTTCTCCTCCAGCTCAGCCTGCGTTGTCACACTCTCAGACTTTGGGGAGTGGATAATCAGCACAACAGAACCTGCACAGCTCAGCAGACACCCCAACTTGCCCAGGATGTTGAGTTTTTCCTTCAGAAGATAAGAAGCTAAAATGGACCTTTGATTAAATAAAAGAAATCATTACTGTTTAAATAAATCACATTATCCAACCTGTTTCTAGTAGGTGCAGATGCTTTTTATCTAGAAAACCCACATTTTTCTTTATAGCCATATTTTTATTTTTCATTTAGTTTGTTTTTGGTTCAGATTTTGGGGATTGAAACCAGAGTCTTGCAAAGGCTAAGCACATGTTTTACCATTAAACTATATTCACTTCCAGCCCATCATTTAGTTTATAAAAATAGAAAAAAAAGGAGCAATAATAAATCCCTACTTTAAGAAATTATTGAAGCTGTTATTTCAACAAAAATTGAATTTTCATGCATAGTCATTATACAGTTAATGGCATCTTAAAGTTGACCATTATATATTAGAATCCCAGTAGATATAAAATATATCAGGGGGCTGGGGATGTGGCTCAAGCGGTAGCACGCTCGCCTGGCATGCGTGCGGCCCGGGTTCGATCCTCAGCACCACATACCAACAAAGATGTTGTGTCCACCGAGAACTAAAAAATAAATATTAAAAAAAAAATTCTCTCTCTCTCTCTCTCTCTCTCCTCTCTCACTCTCTCTTTAAAAAAAAAATAAAATATATCAGAATAGAAAAAGAAGTTTAATAAGTGGCCCAAAACAAAAAAAAAATTATTTCCTTATTTATAAAAGTAAACAATAGGAAAAAAAAAACAACCAAGTGGAAAAGTAGGTCACAAAATTGTCGAAATATACAAGTAATATATGATTTAAAAAAAAAACAACTTACATTCACTTAAGTGAAAAATGCACATAACAGAAAAGAACTATAAAATTGCTAACAAGAATCACAATATTATAGGAGCATGGGTGATTATTTTTCTCTAATTCTTGAAATTTTAAAAACATGACATTACTTTTTTAAAAAAATGTTTTTAGGTATAGGTGAACGCAATAACCTTTACTTTATTTTTATGTGGTGTTGAGGATGGAACCCAGTGCCTCATGAGTGCTAGGTGAGCACTCTACCACTGAGCCACAACCCCAGCCCTGTAGTACTCTTTTTTTTAATATTTATTTTTTAGTTTTAAGTGGACACAATATCTTTATTTTACATTTATGTGGGGCTGAGGATAGAACTCAGTGCCTCAAGCATGCTAGGTGAGCACTCTACCACTGAGCCATAACCCCAGCCCCCATATTACTCTTTTAAAGCAAAAAAAAAAAAAAAAAAGAGTATAAATTTGTGAAACATCTATAACCTTCAAGCCTATAATGTGTATCTTGTTTCTTGTTTCTCTCTGAAGGAAAACCTGGGCTTTCAGTAAGTCACAGTACTTACTGGTCATTCTTACACTGCTGGTGACTAGGCTAAGACTCTTGGGGAACATGAGCATCCAAGCAAATGACACACCAGGTTCATGAATGCACTGGATTATTATTTTTTCATCATTATTTTACAGATAAGGAAATAGGTTCAGAAAGGATCAGCACTGAATGTAAGGCCACAAAACTAATGGAAGGGTAGAAGAAATTTCTCTTATGCCCTCCAAGGTTCTCTGAAATGATCTGAAAATAGTTTAATAGCAAAAAAACATGTAAATTTATGGTTTGGATTTTAAATGTCCCCCAAATGTCCACATATTGAAGGCTTGGTGCCCAGCCTGTGGTGCTGGGCCTAGTGGAAAGAAGTTAGGTCATTGAGGGCATGCTCTTGAAGGGGATATTGGGACTCTGGCCACCATAATGTGAGCAACTTCTTCTGCCCCATGCTTCCACCATGATGTACTGCCTTTCCACAGGCCCCAAAATAATGAAACCAGCCACTACAAACTAAAACCCCAAAGACTGTGAACCAAAATAAACTCTTCCTCTTAAGGGGGTTATCTCAGGTATTTTGTCACAGAAATGAAAAAGCTGACTAACATTAAGTGCATAAACAAAGAATCCACACAAATATGAAACTCAGAGAAATGACAGATGTTTGGAGCTATACACCCTCTTCATAGAGGAGAGGGAAATGGGCAGAGGTGACTTAGAGTAAATGAATAAGCCTAAAGAACAGACAATGGCTTGGCAGAGGCAGCAAAGTTATAGGAAGTTGAGGGATAGAACTTCACTGCAAATACAAATTGTCTTATGTAGATAAAGTCTCTCAGATAATCTCTTCAGCAACCCTTAGAAGAATAGATGAAAAATGTGTCTGGGCTTGGTGACAACTCTGAGACTCTCTTCTCCTCTTCTCCAGTGCTCATGTCTTCTGGATATCTGATGGAGATACCTGGAGAAGGGGTTTAAGACAATTGCATTTTCTTTTCCAAAAGAGTCCTCTGTCAGATAAGTGAACTTCTGAGAGAGCATCTCTCTGTTCTCTGGGAAAGAAAGAGGATGAACAGGGACTGAGAGACTAAGGGGTGGGATGGCAATTGTGGGGAATCGATGAGTGAGATCTTAGGTCTGAGACTATTTCTCCAGCTCAGCGTGCCAAAGTATTCACACTTTAGGGTATCGTTTTCTGAGCCCCAGCACCAAGATGTGAAATCATGGTGACGACACCACTCATAGGGCCAAAGCTCCCATCTTCTGCCTTATACCACCTGTGCTCCTGTCCCTAGACAGCTCTGACCTGAAGTAACCCCAAGAGTGCAAGTGGGGAAGTAAGCAACATCACTGAAAAAAAAAAAGAAAAAAGAAAGACTTGAGAATACGTGACTAGATGTTACACTGAGTGGCCCATGCAGCTGCCCAGAAAAATGGAAACTAGAGCAGTGTGAGGGTCACAGAGTAAGAACCCAGCCTGGAACTGGCCTGGAGGATGGGCGGACCAGAAGAAAAGCAGGGAGGCAGGCTGAGTCTGGACCAAACCATCTTACTCCACTGACTTTCTTGATAGCATCCTCTGAAGCACAAAGGTTTTTAATTCTGATGACTTTCAATTTATCTTTCTTTTGTTCCTCATGCTTTTGTGCTTTAGGTGTCATCATCCAAAGTCACAAAGATTTAAACTCATTTCTTCTAAGTGTTTTATAGTTTTGTCTCTTACATTTAGATCTTTGATCCATTTTCAGTTAATTTTTGTATAGTGAGTTAGGAGTACAACTACTCATTTGCATGTGGATATCCGATGACTCAGTACCATTTGTTTAAAAGATTATTCTTTCCTTACCGCACCCCTAGCAAAAATCAACCGACTATAAATGTGAGGGTGTACTTCTGAAATACACCCTATTCTATTAATTTACATGCTACCCTTATCCCAGCATCAGTTTTTGATTACTACAGTTCTGTAGGAAGTTTTGAAATTTTTAAATTCATCAAATAATGTATAGTCTTCAGAGTATGAGTTTTATAATTCTTTAAAAAAATTTTTTTTAGTTGTAGATGGACACAAAACGTTTATTTATTTATTTTTATGTGGTGTTGAGAATCGAACCCAGTGCCTCACATGTGTTAGCCAAGCACTCTACCACTGAGCGACAACCCCAGTTTTGCAATTCTTTTGTTAATTTGTTCTTATTTAATTAATTTTGGTGCTAATGTATATGGAACTATTTCCTTAGTTTCATTTTAGGCTCACTCAGTACTACTACTATATACAAACAGGACTGATTCCTACTTCTTAATCTGATTAATACATTGATCTTGTATCCAGCACCCTTTCCAAACTTACATTACTTCTAACAGTTTCTTAGTAGATTCCTTAGGATTCTCTATATACAAGAGCATGTCCTCTATCAACAGAGTCAGTTTACAGAGACAGTTTAATGTCTTTCTTTCCAATCTGGATGCCTTTTAATTCACCTATTTGCCTAATTGTTTTGTTTCTAACATGCAGTACGATGCTGAATAGAGGTTGTAAAAGTGGACAGTTTGTCTTGTTTCTGTCTTAAGGAAAAAGTATCCAGTCTTTCCATTAAGAATGCATTCTTGGGATAAATGGCACTTGGTCATGGTGTGAAATTATTTTCGTATATTATTGGATCCAATTGGTTGGTATTTTGTTGAAGTCCTCTCCATCCATATTCCTAAAAGAAATGGTTTAATAGTTTTCTTATGATACCTTTGGCTTTGTTACTAGGAAAATAGTGGATTCTGTATGAGATGGGAAAGTTCCCTCCTCTTGTATTTTTAGAAGGATTTGTAAGGAGTTGGTATTCTTATTCGTTAGTATTCTTTTTCTTCTTCTCCTCCTTATTCTGTAGTGTGTATCAAATTCAGAGTCTCCCACATACCTAGGCAATCAACCACTCTCTGTCACTGAGTTACATCACCAACCCAAGAACTGATATTCTTTAAATGTCTGATAGAATACTCCAGTGAAACCGTCTCTGCCTTGATTTTTTTGTTGCAAGTTTTTTTCCATTACTAATTCTATTTACAAGTTATTATTCAGATTTTCTACTTCTTCTTAAAACAGAATAGTTTGTCTTTTACTAGGAATGTTTCCATTTAAGTTATCTAATGTTATAAATAAAATAAATAATTATTATTATTTGTCATGTTTGCATATAATCTGGTAGAAATGTTCCATACTTCAGTTTTGATTTTCTTTGGGGGCGCAGGAGTGGTGGTACTGGGGATTTAACTCAGCACTTAACCACTGAGCCACATCCCCAGCTCTTTTTATTATTATTTTTATTTGTTCTTTTTAGTTATACATGACAATAGAATGTACCAAAATACACACAAAATACATACATACATGGAGTAAAATTTCCCATTTTTGTGGCCATACATGATATGGAGAGTTACACTGGTTGTGTAATCATATATAGGTTTTGCTGCCTATATTTGGAATTCTGTTTTTAGGTGTATATTTCTTTACAACTGTTGTTATTTTCCAGATGCGCTGACTATCCTGTTACTATAAAATACCCCTTTTATCTTTAGTAAAAATTTTTATTTTACAGTCTATATTGTCTGCTTTCCAACTTTCTTACGGTTACTGTTAGAATAATCTACATTTTTCTTTCATTTTTTTTTCTTTTTTTATTTGTTCTTTTTAAGTTTTACATGTCAGTAGAAT